GCGAAATCGGGAATGAATTTTCTGTAATAACCTAGAAGACCAAGAAAAGATTTTATTTCTTTCGTAGTCTTCGGAATTGGAAATTGTTGTACAGCTCGAATTTTGTCTGGGTTTGGTTTTATTCCGTCTGTAGTTATGATATGGCCTAGATATGCTGTTTCTTTTTTCAAGAACTCGCATTTATCTAGTTGGATCTTAAAATTTGTTTCTCTTAGGCGTTGGAATACTTTTTTCAAGTTCACCATATGTTCTTGAAGCGAAGTTGAGAAAATTACAATATCATCTAGATATACAAGACAGATCTCATTCTGCAACCCTCTCAAAATGTTGTCCATAACCCTCTGAAAGGTGGCTGGAGCATTTTTGAGACCGAAAGGCATGCGAAGATATTCGTAATGCCCATTTTCCACATTAAAAGCGGTCTTTTGAATGTCGTCTGGGTGCATTTCGATTTGGTGGAAGCCACTAGCCAAATCTAAGGTGGTAAAATAGTTGCATCTGCCAAGTTTATCAAGTACATCGGTGATATTGGGAATTGGGTATCGATCATCGATTGTTTTATCGTTTACCTTACGATAATCGACCACGATACGCCACTTCTTTTTGCCGGAGGCATCAGCCTTCTTGGGAACTACCCATATCGGTGATGACCACGGTGAATTGCTTGGCCTAATAATATTCTGATGAAACATTTTCTGAATTTGTTCATTGACTTCGGCTTTGTGGATGAAAGGATATCTATAACTTTTTGTGTGTACTGGAATTTCGTCATGAGTATTGATTTTATGTTTGATTTGATTCGTAAATGTTAGAGATTTGTCGTTTGAATGAAATATGTCTGAATATTTTCGGCATAGGGAAAGAATACTAGATTTTTCTTCGTCGTTCAAATGTTCTGTTCGTATTAGGTCATCTACATCGTAAGAGTTTTGTCCATTGTCATAATCTTGTATCGTCATGTGATAAAATTCGAAGTTGTTATTTACTGGAATTGTCTTAATAGGATATAATAAGGTGAAATTTGTATCATCAGCGGAATTATTGTAGATTTCTATGTTAGCCCAGCCTTTCACAGAAACAGATAAGGTCTCTGGTATGAGGCAGTTTTGAATTACTTGTCTCGGAACTATGATATCGCCTGACTCAGTTGTCACTGGGACTTTAATTTTGTTTACGGTATGTCCGGCCAAATGTTTTTCTACGAAAACCTTTGGGTTGGCATTGAAATAATGAATCGCGATGCATGCGTTCGGGGTTATGAATTTCATGTTAGAAAAATCTAACTGTGCATTCAAAGCTTGTATCAAGTCGATTCCTAGAAGTCCGTCGAAGACATTATGAAATTTGTAGGAATAAAATTTGAGATTTATGTTTTCGTTAAATTCATTGAAAGCTTTTATTGTTATTGATGTATCATGTTTCGAGGAAGCGAAAGATGTTGATACAACAAAGGGGTCATAATTTTTGAATTTTGAAAAATACGTATTAACAATTTGTGGGTCTAAAAATGATTTGGTCGCTCCTGTATCAATCAAAAGTTTAAGTGGTGGGTTATTGATGGTAATATATGGTAATTGTCTCTTATCAAAGGAAGTATTGAACTCGATTACGTCTCTTTTTGGTGAGGGTTTGTCGACTGAAAATCCTGAGGTTCATCGTATTCTGCATATTCTGTATATTCGTCAGAATATTCAGCGTACTCGGATTCGACCTCTTGCGAACACTCCGTATTATACTCGTTGGGTATATCGAATTGTTCAGTGTTATTCATTTCCATAGGAGCATATGACTGTCTGGTATTTGAAGTGAATTGTTTGGTAGTAGTGGACATTGGAGTCGCTTTGTATTGATTCGAATTTTGATGGTTATTAGGATTTGGTTTCCAAACATTTTTCGGTTTTCCAAAAACTTGTTCATTAGAGAAATATTTCTGATTGGGATTTTGCCTAGATTGAACATTTATTGGTGCTGATGGAAATTGCTGTCTTTGATTAAAGTTTGGTGCATTTGATGGACCTGCTTGAGCAAAATTTTGATAATTTTGTTGCCTGAATGGCTGTTGTCGAAATTGGTTTGTGTTTACAAATGTGTTAGAATTTGTGTTAGGAAATTTGTTTGGATGTTTCTTGTTCTGCGAAAAATTTGAATTTTGATTCGAACTCTGATTCGAACTATTATGAGAACCGGCGTTTTGCAAGTATCTAATATTTTCTTCTTTGCGAATGAAATTTATGGCATCTAGCATAGTTTTTGGTTCTTTGGTACGGACCATTATTCCGAAAGGATTTCTCAGTCCGGCTAAAAATACCTCGAGAGCCTGTTGGTTGTACATATTTTGTTTGAATTTACGAATATTTACATCATTTTCATGGATTGATAGATAGTTAGAAATTGTATTCAAAATTTTTCTCACTCTATCATGAAATTGATAGGGAGACTCGTTTTGATTTTGTCTGAGATTATTCAAATCAAGAGATAAACAGGTTTCATTTCTTGGGTCGCTAAAATTTCGGATCAATTCATCCTTAATTTGTTGTACATTACTTGCACAGGTAATATTAACGACTTCTCTAGCAGAACCTTTCAGTTTGCTAATGATTGTTCGGAAAATAATCACATTTTGGAAATTATTCGCATTCTGAGTATCGTAAAAGTGTTTGACTATGCTATCGACACTTTCAAGAAAAAAGTTTAGTTCGTTTACATCACCGTCGAAATCCGGGATGGTTTCTGCATGAACTTTGGAAAATGTTGGAACTGACATTGTTTCTGTGTTAATTTTATTTGATGAAGAAATATCAACAGGAGTTTTTTCTTCTACGATTGAAATACTACTGAGATTATCTGTTAGTAATTGTATACTGAGCTCTAGATTGTCTTCACTTTCACTTAAGGATGGAGAAGTTCTAGAGGAGTCTGACATGAAAAGAAAAATTCACTTACAGTACGATCTCTCTGTTCATTTGTCTTGAAGTGCTGCTATTCTTGCAGATGCTTCTTTTTCGTCCGACTAGCTTGTCCGCCTGGATACGCCTTCGGAATTTTCTTCTGTTTTCAGTTTCACTGCGATTTCACCGAACCGAACGAGATCCGATTTTCGAATTGTTGCTCAACTATTGGAATAGAAAAGTTATCCGCACTGGATTCTTTGCAACAATCCTACCGACTGCGCCAATTTTATAAGTCCGTTCAGGATTTCGGATAAAAAAATATTTTTTATTCAACTATTTGTCACAAAGCAGAGAGATGTTTACAGCATGGATTCAAAGTCAAGACTGAATATAAAACTAATTCTAATAAACATGTGAAAATGCAAAATTGCAAGAAAGCATAGAAATCATGAGAACGCTGACTCGGCTTCTCCTGGTCTTCTGTCGAGATTCCTATTTCTTAAGGAATACCGTGGAATTGGTGATGTAACTCACGCTGCAAACGCGAATGCCAATTGCGAACAAGAAAAACAAAATCGAAAACAAATCAGAATTCATCGTATTGTGACGTAAGCATGAGACGTTGTGGTGGGGCAAACAAAGAAAGGGTACAAAAGAACAAAAACAATACTTTCAATATCCTTCTGAGACCTCTTTGGGAAGTGCATATTACGCCTCAAAAAACATCCTCATGCCTACATTTCTAAACCATCCCAAAACATCCCAGGGATACCTCTCAGTAGGCAAACAAAGAAATGCCACAGAAGAACAAAAACAATACTTCAATATCCTTCAAAGACCTCTTTGGTCAGTGCATATTACGTCTCAAAATAACATCTTCATGCCAACATTTTCAATACATCCCAAAACATCCCAGGGATGTTTGTGCTCGCTGATATGGGAAACTCAATCTGTCGATCATGTTGTACTGGCCTTTTGCCGGGGAACTGAATATGATTGCTGGGTAGCCAGCACTGTGGGACCAGCTGCCGGCCGCAGGGTACTGATATACAGTGTGGCCCACGGTCGATGGTACCTTAGACGTATACGGAAAACGGTACATTGGATCATCCTGAAAATTTGGTTACTCTAATAAGCGTTTGTGATCTAACGATTCAAAATATTTTCAGCGATGCAGCGTTGCCACTTTTACCAAAAAGTAGCATCATCTTTGTTATTTCAAATGGAACACCCTGTATTTCATTGCGTTTTTAGATTCTTCTCGAAGAGCTGATTTCATCAATGCATCACACTTGAGGTCTAGCAGGAATTATTACAGAGATATAGGGTGTTCAAAATCGAGATTTTTAAACTTTAGGATTTTTTTGTGTCGAAACTATTCATCATTGGTCAAAACGGCTCACATGTCCCTATATCAACTTTTGATTAACTATCTACCGATATTTAATTGGAAAGAATACAGGATGGTCCAAGATTCAGAATTTTGATCACCCTGTATCTGTTCCAATTAAATGTCAGTACATAGTGAATCGAAAGTTAAGATAGGGACATGTAAGCCGTTTTGATCGATAATGAATAGTTTCGTCACAAAAAATTCCTGAAATTGAAAAATCTCGATTTTGAACACCCTATAGCTCTGTAATAATTCCTGCTAGACCCCAAGTGTGATACATTGATGAAATGAGCTCTTCGAGTAGAATCTGAAAACGCAATGAGATACAGGGTGTTCCATTTGAAATAACAAAGAAGATGCTACTTTTTGGTAAAAGTGGCAACGCTGCATCGCTGAAAATATTTTGAATCGTTAGATCACAAACGCTTATTAGAGTAACCAAATTTTCAGGATAATCCAATGTACCGTTTTCCGTATACGTCTAAGGTACCATCGGCCGTGGGCCACCCTGTATAGAGTCCCGCATATGGGATCATTTACTGGACCGCTGATATGGGAAAAATATATTAGGTCATTGATACCCCGTATCGAAATGTTTGCTGGGCGTATTTCATTGCATTTTTAGATTCTTCCTGAAGAGCTGATTTCATCAAAATGTATCACACTATGGGGCCTAGCAGGAATGATTACTATAAATTCGAGTTTGATGGTTTCAGGCGCTCCAACAGATGGTCTCAGAATATTCGGTGGGCAAGACGCGGCTCCTGGTCAATTCCCCTACATTGTTTCCATTCAACAATGCGGGTTGTTCACCTGCGAACACTACTGCGGCGGGTCGATCCTGGCGCCATCTTGGATCCTCACCGCCGGTCATTGCTACAGCTACGGGCCGAAGTATCAGGTGGTGGCCGGCATCCAGAACATATCGGAGAAGAGCGAGTGGAGGCAAACCGTGGCGGTTGACAAGTTTCACGTCCATGAGAAATACATTGGGTAGGTTGGATATTTTTTTCATGTTCTGGTTACCACGAAAAGGAATATCCTATAATGTTCAGAGAACATCCTGAGATCCAAGGGAATAAGGTAGGAATTGGTGTTCTTCTTAAATTTCTGAAGGTTATATGCCTCAGAAAACACCTCCCTTAGCAATGTGTTCCAGAGCCTCGCTGTTCGTTGGATGAACGAGTCTTTGAGAAGAGATGTTCTGCAGGAATCCAAAGTGACCACGAAGGGGTGCGAAGCCTCAACTCGACGGGTTGATTTCGCAGAGACTGCCAAGGGAGGAAAAATTATTGTTGATATTTCAGAAGAACATCGTCCATGAAAATATCAATAAAATAGTGCCAGATCGCCAATATAAGTCGCCCTTCAGTCTAAAAAGGTGTTGTACACAGATGCATACAGGTTTCGGGATTCTCCGGCATCAAGTGACTTTTGCAGCTTCTGTTATTCCTGCTGGAGTATATAATATCTCTTCGTCATTATCAATATCCATTTCTTAGAAATTATAACTGAACCACCGCGTAGTTTAAATTTGACGTTTCAACATTGACAACGATTCATGTCATAAGGTCCCTTGATGTGAATTGACGTATTTGTCATCTTAACAGGGTACGGACAGATCCTCGTATCTCACTCCAAAGTGTTTGTGAAACAGTTATATAGTTCCATCTTTATCCATTCCTGGGGATAAACACTAGATTTCTGACATTTGTTGTTTTTTAGCGTTTTTTTAGGTTATATCGAGGACATTGGCGTAACATACGTACCTAATTTCCACATGTAATTTCTCATTCAACTCTACATATTATATCCAAATGATGATGATAATTTATTTCGAGTTTTTTATCCAGCATAATTTTTGTGAGGCAGTGAGCAAATTTTTCTGAAAGTTCAATACGTTTTACCAAATGATACTGTTCTTAGGCAGACCCTATCAATACATTAATTTTGATTTCAGAATAAGCCATATGGTTGAGAAATTTTGAAAAAAGTTATGTAGGTATTCAAACTGTGCTCCTATGTCATGTGTGATGTATATATTCATGTTGGGAATCATTTTTGCAATTTTTCAGGAACACCAAATATTTCCTGAATGTAGGTATAATTTTTTAAATGTAGACATATGCCTCTTCTTTTAATCCTCCGTTTAAATCAAAATTGTTTATACTTAAATGCATCCAAAAACTGGAGTGGATAATGGATAATTATAGGCACAATGAGAGAGTATAGTATGTGATTATGTATTAGTTTCACCTCGAATATTTTGCTGATGTATTTACCAATTTTCCCCATTCGGTCACTTCACTTTCCACGTTCTAAGTTCATTTGCATTCGATGGAAAACTGACAAATTCAAATTTGCGATCTGTTAAAACCCCAAAATATTTTCGTTTAGTTCTGTTTTTAGTATAAATATACCTAGACATAATAATTCAAGATTCTCTAAACATATGAAGACGGCACATTCACTCAATAATATCCAATATAATCCGGACCCTAACTTTTGGCTTCGAATGTATATCCGTCCAGCTTTGGAAGCAATCGACGCCATCGAGAAAACGGGGGAATACGTAGTCCGATAAATGGAGGAGGAAAAAAAGGCAAAGTTAACGTTAATTACGCACTATTTACCTCATCAAACATGAGACAAAGTTTGACTGGAAAACGAGTGCGATGGCGGAGAAAATGGCCCCAAAAGACCAGGAAAATATGTTTTCAGCCAATATCTCCTAAAATATGGCAGTTAGAGATTTTCGGTTCAGATAAAAATTGGTCCTTATCATTTTCTCGAAAATTTGCGCGGTTTCGAGAACAACGGCACGAAGCGCACCTCGAATAATGAGCTTCTGTGTTGTATGCCGGAGAGCACAGTCCGTGTCCATCGGCGGGGGGACAAATTATTCAATAACTTTGTTGAAAATGCATATTTTCTCATGATTCAAAGTTCATGTGAAAGAGGAAATCTGCTGCTATCATACCCTGCGTGGCCGCATGGTTTGTAGCAGACGACCCGAGCGCCACGTAGAGCACACACGCGGCGAACGACGGAGGAACGAAAGTAATAAATTATAGCGTGTACATTCAGAAATACTGGTTTTTTCCCGGGATATCAAAGGTATGACTTATATACATCGATGGAAAGGTGGGAATTCCCCCGTTACACTAGTTAAGGTGTTAAAATGTTAGAAATAAAGAGCACGGAGAGAAAAACCACCGAAAAAAAAGTGCGTTTTTTCCTTGACCCCGCTTTTTCTAATTTTATTGAAAAATGGACGACTTCGTCTAAAAAAGTAATTTAACAATCGAAAAGTAGACCTTCTTAGCTTTCAAATGATGTATCATAGAAACCAATCGGATCATGTATAATTTTTTTTAATTGATGGTTGTTCACAAAATTTCCCCGCGCTCCAAAAACAGCAAAAAATTGGGATTCAATGAACAGAGAATGAATGAAAATTAAAAAAAATTAGGGTATACAAATTTCAGGGATGACAAAGGACCTTAATATAAGGACCCATAATCAAGAAAATTTTGAGTAAATTAGTGCAATACAAAAAAAATAGGAACAAATTCCTGGCGAGGTCAAAATTGACCGGGAGCAGAAAGTTTGACCCATGTTCCGATATGGCCAAAAGAGTCAAGCGTGACTCAATTCACAGGGTATGATAGCAGCAAAATTCCTCTTTCACATGAACTTTGAATCATGAGAAAATATGCATTTTTAACAAAGTTATTGAATAATTTGTCCCCCGCCGATGTGTAAATACACGGACTGTGCTCTCCGGCATACAACAGAAGCTCATTATTCGAGGTGCGGTTCGTGCCGTTTTTCTCGAAACCGGGCAAATTTTCGAGAAAAATGATGAGGACCATTTTTGTAGAAAATTAACTGAACTTCAATTTTTATCTGAACCGAAAATCTCTAACTGCCATATTTTAGGAGATATTGGCTGAAAACCTATTTTTCTGGTCTTTTGGGGCCATTTTCTCCGCCATCGCACACGTTTTCCAGTCAAACTTTGTCTCATGTTCAATGAGGTACCAAAAGCTACTTCCAACCGGAAGATGAAAATAGTGCGTAATAAATGTTAACTTTTTCCCTTTATTTATTGGACTAACGCGGCAGAAACTCATACGGTACCGCGGGAGAACGGACTCGATTTGAAAAAAAACCGAAAATCTCGCGCCCAAACAAAACGCTAAGGCTATACGCGATAGTGTGAAATTTCCCCCAAAATACAGTCCACTCAACTCCCCTTAGTACTGGTGGTGAAGCAGCCCTTTGGACAGAGCCCTTGCTGAAGGATTTGTTGATGTCGGTCGTCAGACAGATTCCAGGTGAGCTCGATTAGTCTTTCCATTGCTGGCGGTAAACCATACCAAGTATACTCATTCGTAAACACCATCCAACTGATTGATACAGCCTAACGCAGCACATTTTACCATCCAAAACAGTATTGAATAATGTCCTATTAAGATAAAGTATGAAATTGAAATTTTTTAAGATCTCTTTTAACGCCTATGAATGTGACGTGACAGCAATGTCATGTCATGGACGCCAATACATGAAACCAAAGTCACTAGATGATTAAAAGAGAAAGGAGCTATGATCTGACCGTACCCTGTTGAATGACAAATACGCAGTTTGCATCAAAGGACCCTAGCTTGTCATGTCATATATGTCAATAATGGCTCACGTACTCGATATCATCTTGATATAGTCTACTTATTTGATACTAACATCTTAATATTTCGTATTCGCGGGAATCAATGTTACCAGGTGGCGCTCGGTTTTAATCTTTCCATGTCAAAGTCACGTCAAAACTGGGGGAAAACAAACTCAATCCTCACTCAATCCCATTAGTGCCATTAGCTTGTGTACTGTGTACTGATAAGAGTGATGAGTTTTTGAATTTCTTGACATTAATTGTCAATATTCGATCGAAAACGCTAATATAATGCCTGTTGTAGATGTTATTTTGGCAGATATTTTGCTCTATTTAGACGGAAAAGCCGACCAGTAGTGGAAGGAGAAGCAGTTCTCCGTGCTAATCATGTGATTTTGTGTGAGGCAGAAGACTTCAACAAAAGGCACATTTTTGCACTTTGTCTACAAACTTCGGCGATGAAATCTTTCCCACATGAAGTAAAATTGAAGATGGGGTCCAGAGGAACTCCTGTAGAACAATGGATTTGTATTTGTTCATGCAAAGGAGGACAATCTGGGTATTGTAAACTTGTTGTAGCTGTTCTTTTATATGTCGATTGATTTGCTCGTCATAATTAGTTTGAATTGTTTGAACTATCTCCAATTCTTCAACCGTTCAATGTTCACTAAAAAATGGATTAATGTAAAAAAATTAACCAACTCAACCATCATCACTACCAACAGTGCCAACACTTTATGTCATTGACAAGTTTGACTACCAGCTACAGCAAGCTGAATGCAATGTAGTCTATGTACTTTATCCATAGACAACAGTTTGTTTTCCCCCAGTTTGAAGTTCGTATTATGTAACCTAGATGTCGCCCACTTCGTGAATCTCGATCGCGAATAAAGTTAGCTAATCAAAGTGCCTGGCTATAGCCTATAATATACAGGGTGTTACATAATTCAATACAAATATTTCAATGACATATATTCCTGGGGTCAAAATAAGACTTTTTTTCCTATAAACATGTGTCCTAAAATCCACCCCGTCCAAGCTACAGACAGCGTTTAATGGTAAGTTGAGGAAAGTGAATCGATTGTGACATGACGGTTATGACATATACCACAATGTCAGTTTGGCATAAAAGATATCAATTAATCATTAGTTACCAGAGACAAACATAATCATAGCTCACTAAGTTTTTTTAGTATAATAATTTGAAAATACACCCCTTTCATTTACTAGCGATTTTCTCAAAAACGGTTAGCTAATTCAAGAAAATGCAAGAGACTGAAATGTATGATTTTTTAGTGGCCAATTCGACGATGATGTTTGAATTCGAATTTTTTTGGAGGAAATAGAAAATGTTTGCCATCAAATCTGTATGCAACCCTCATTCACCCCTTTCGATTCGAGTTACCTTATTTTTGAATCAAGAAATGAATAGATCGTCTAAAAATACAAGTGCCTGTGAATTTTCAAAATATTTTATGCATAATTGTAGCCACAATTCAAAATTTAAGATTTTTTTTGCGCATCTTGCGATGTCTGTAGCTTGGAGGGGGTAGATTTTCGGACACATGTTTATAGGAAGAAAAGTCTTATTTTGACCCCAGGAATATGCCATTAAAATATTTGTATTGAATTATGTAACACCCTGTATACGTTCATAAACGTACTGATAAATGCTTGCTAAATACAAAACATATCGCGTACCATTGAAACTATATAAAGACCAGTGAATAATGGTTATTCACCGCTATTATTCACTGTTGTGGAAAATGGCTATCGTTTTGGTTGAGCAAGTACAGGGTGGGCAAAATTGGGCGTTTTCACCGTCTATCTCAATAACTAGAGGAGTTATCGAAGAACCGATATACATGTTCCGGGTTCGATTTTTGAGAAACCTCGAATGGCACAATCAAAATTTCGATATCTTTATTCGTTTTAGAAATTGAAAATTTGCCGATTTCGATTTTATTTTCTGACTACTTTGAGAGGTACGGTGAGAGGTATCAAAAAATTTCAAACGTATATTTATACAGTATGATGCGTGGAATCCATTGGCATGATCAGAAATTTTATACAGGGTGACGTTGAAAAGATACGGCAGCCAATTATGTTTTTTCTAATGGAATACCCCGTATATTTTGCCACAGTTGAATAGTCCCAGGCGTTCTCATTACAAATATATATATAACCCTACCTTTTCCTTCAACAATTTCAGTTATATTCGCAAAAATATATTCAGTGTGTCACATTTCTTATGGTTACACCCCTGTATTTTCTGTAAAAATAATTGAGGTAGGATTCAAAAATTCGCAACTGTCAGAAAGATACAAATTAATAATACACTCATGGAGTCATGGACCAAGTGGGATCATCTCCAATGATAACACTCTGCTCGCCAGCAGCTATGGAATCATCGATATTTCTGGATAATGCTATCAACAGGCAGAATCGAGGTTGAAAATGATACTCTGTATTTATATTCACCAAATGTGAAAAATAAATATCATAAGGAATGTTATTTCCAGACAAATGGATATTTGGTGAGAAATAAAATGGGAAATTATTCGATTTGATATCATTGTTATTAAGACATTTGAGATACAGAAATAAGACCAATAATTTACTCAATTAGAAAATCAGTAGGTTGCGTTGAAAAATATAGCCTTATAGAAGATGTCCAAATTCCAGATACAGAACAATTTTTTTTATGGAACACCCCGTATATCTTATTTATTATCTCTTTGAATGCAAAAATATTAAGGTATACTAAAAATAATGGGTAAAGTATCATATTCAGGCATTCTGCTACAAAATATTATGATTGTTAATGTTTCCATCAATTATTCTTACAGAAGATACGGGGGTGTAACCATAAGAAATGTGACACACTGAATATATTGTTGCGAATATATCTGAAATTGTGGAAGAAAAAGGTAGGGTTATATATATATATTTGTAATGAGAACGCCTGGGACTATTCAACTGTGCCATAATATACGGGGTGTTCCATTAGAAAAAACATAATTGGCTGCCGTATTTTCTCAACGTCACTTTGTATAAAATTTCTGATGATGCCAATGGATTCCACGCATCATACTGTATAAATATACGTTTGAAATTTTTTGATACCTCTCACCGTAAAGTAGTCAGAAAATAAAATCGAAATCGGCAAATTTTCAATTTCCCCCTGTATCTCTAAAACGAATAAAGATATCGAAATTTTGATTGTGCCATTCGAGGTTTCTCCAAAATCGAACCCGGAACATGTATATCGGTTTTTCGATAACTCCTCTAGTTACTGAGATAGACGGTGAAAACGCCCAATTTTGCCCACCCTGTACATGTATTATGAATATTTTATACAACAGTCGTGGACGAATGAATGATTTAGATTGAAATTTACAGAAACGTCAATCCAAATGACATCGCTCTCATCAAGTTGGAAGAACCGCTGACATATAGTGACAGGGTTCAGCCGATACCTCTTCCTGAGCCCAACTCGTTTTATTCTGGTGACGCTGTGGTGTCAGGATGGGGACAAATCAGTGGGAACTTTTTTTCTATCTACCCCGATACTCTTCAGTTCCAGAAATCTACTGTTCTCACTAACGACGGTAAGTAACAAGTTTATAATAGAAGTGACTGCTAATTTTTGTCCGTTATACTCGACCGAAAAGATACATAATAGTGTGTCCACCTTAAGGACTTACCACCCCTGTAAAATCGTTATTATCCCACCAATTTCGAAAAACCTTTTTTTGTTGGATAGGTATTTGAGATGCCCATCCAACAAGAGAGTGATCTAATTCTGGACTGTTATCGTGGCCAACTGCGACAAATTTCAATAACCCATATTCTAGAAAGTACTATTAGGAATTTTTTCCACGAAACTCGATGATGGATTCTGAATCAGTACCACTTGAAATATACCTGTACCGATTTTCATCATCATAAAACACAGGGTGTCCGAAAAAACGAATCATCATTTTCTTTAAATAGGTGATCAGCAAATGTAGTTCTGTGGTTTTTCTAGAAAGAAATAATCACAAATTATCATTGGGGATTATTTCAAATATACCTGTACCAATTTTCGTCATTCGAATATACAATGTGTCTGAGAAAAAAAAAATAAAAAGGATAGGTAAGCAATAATTTTCATCCTGATAATTCTTCACTCAAAATAAAAAGATGAATCAGGATCACTTGGAACATACCTGACCGATTTTCATCATCATTAAACACAGGGTGTTCGAAAAATCAAATTAATATTTTTTTTGAGTTGATGAAAAATTATTGCCTACTTTTTCTTTTTAATTGTTTTACACATCGTATTTTTGAATGATGGAAATCGGTACAGATATGTTCAAAGTGATCCTCAATAATAATATGTCATCAATTCTTCTCAAAAATACCACAATACTACATTTTCTGATCACCTATTAAAAAAAACATAATTCGTTATTTCGGACACCCTGTGTTTTATGATGATAAAAACCAATGAAGGTATTTTTTAAGTGATCGTGATTCAGAATCCATCATTGTTTTTTGTGAAAAAAAATCCCTAATAGTACTTTCTCAAATATGGGCCAATAAAGTTGGTTGCAGTTGGCCACGATTACAGTTCATGAGTAAAATCACTCTCTTGTTGGATGGACATTTCAAATACCTATCCAACAAAAAAAAGTTTTTCGAAATCGGTCAGATAATAACAATTTTACAGGGGTGGTAAGTCCTTAAGGTGGACACACTGTATAATAATGAAGATGATGGAAAGCCCTAATTTCGAGTGACAACGGAAAATGAAAAAACTCCACCGCCGTTGTCACTCGAAATTAGGGCTTTCCATCATCTTCATTATTATATCGGGTGGTCACAAAAAAACCGGAAGTTTTTATTTTCTTCGTGGTTTCATCATTTCTCAACCGAATTCGAATTTCTTGACGTCGTTTCCTAGCTAATGGGCTATAGTATACAGTGGAATATTTCAAAATTTCATAATGAACAAAAACAAAATGGTGGATTTCACCAAAATATTGTCATTTACAGAAACCGCTGGAGCAAAAGAAAATCAGATTTTTTCCAACCTGTACCGATGTCATCTTAGGCTATTCATTTCTGAAGAGAATGAGTACTCGAACATCGAAATCGAATAAATAGACCAGTAGATACACTCATTTATTTGCAATTTGTTATGGAGTGAATGTGCTAATCTCGTATAAACGATTATTATTATTTTGCTTCAGGCTTCATGAAAATTCAATCGAATTTGGATTTCTTAGAGTTATTTCAAAGATAAAGAACTGTAGTACACAATGGAACATTTGAAAATCCAATAATTGGAAGAAACAAAATGGTGGATAATTCAGAATTCTTGTGATTTTCAGAAATCTCTGGCGAATAAAAAATGTTCATTTTTCCAATCAGGACCGATACAATTTCAGATCATTGATTTCTAGAAAGAATGAGCACCCGAACATCTGAATCGAACAATTAGTCCAGGAGAAACACGTTCTTTTTGGCAAAGTGTTATTGAGTTAATGTGCCAATCCCGTGATAAGAATCACTTTCAGTTTGCTTCTGACTTTATAAGAATTCAATCGAATCTGGATTAATTAGTACACAGTGAAACATCTAAAAATTCAATAATTGCAAAAAAAATGGAGTATCCCTAGTTGGAGGAAATATGAAACATACTAACATAACAACAAAAGTTGAACATACTAACAGCAACAACAACGTAACGAAAAAAATATGAAGTCGAATAACAAGATTAGAGTCACACCAAGATTGCGTGAAATCCGGAAAATATAGCGGTTTTTGTAAATCACGAAAGTTAGGGTTACTCCACCATCTCGTTTTTTTTTTCAATTATGAAATTTCCAGATGTTCCACTGTGTACTATAGCTATTCAGCAGTGGAATGGCATTATGAAATCCGAATTCGATTGAATTCTAATAAAGCCAGAAGCAAACCAAAAGTAATTTTTATCACGGGACTGGCACATTCACTCCATAACACATTGCCAAAAAGAAGGTGTTTCTCCAGGACTAATTGTTCGATTCAGATGTTCGAGTGCTCATTCTTTTTAGAAATCAATAATCTAAAATTGTATCGGTCCTGATTGGGAGAATAAACATTTTTTTATTCGCCAGAGATTTTTGAAAATCACAAAAATTCTGGATTCTCCACCATTTTGTTTCTTTCAATTATTGGATTTTCGAATGTTCCATTGTGTACTACAGTTCTTTATCTTTGAAATAACTCTAAGAAATCCAAATTCGATTGAATTTTCATGAAGCCTGAAGCAAAATAATAATCGTATAATCGTTTATACGAGATTAGCACATTCACTCCATAATAAATTGCAAAGAAGTGAGTGTATCTACTGGACTATTTGTTCGATTTCGATGTTCGAGTACTCATTCTCTTCAGAAATGAATAGCCTGAGATGACATCGGTACAGGTTGGAAAAAATCTGATTTTCTTTTTCTCCAGCGGTTTTTGTGAATGACAATACTTTGGTAAAATCCACCATTTTGTTTTTGTTCATTATGAAATTTTCAAATATTCCACTGTATACTATAGCCTTTTAGCTATGAAACGACGCCAAGAAATTCGCATTCGGTTGAGAAATGATGAAACCAAGAGGAAAATAAAAACTTCAGTTTTTTTGTGACCACCCGATATGTATCTTTTCGGTCGAGTAACCGACAAAAATTATCACTCACTTCTATGTATAGATTGCTTGCGGACATTTCCGTATACAAGGAAAGACAATGCCAGAGGACGAACGGGGAAAAATGGAGAGTACCAACCTGCCAGCGTTGCTTCATATACAGTGTGTTCCACTTAGCATTCTCACCATGGGTATCTTTTTAACGGTGAGAGATACGAGGTCGGTTAAATGACACCAAATGTGGAGTTTGTCAAGGCCAACTATAATGTGAAAAAATATTTAGATAAAATCTATTCGTTTTTGTTTTATACGCAAAAAACAGATTTTGATCATTTTCATGTCTCCTCCATAGCTTCTTCATTTATGAAAATATTCAAATAGGAATTTCACATTCTCATGGCAGGTTTTCAGAGTGATTTCGAAAAAAATATGAAATTTATACCAACTCTTCTAGAATTCGAGATATCAGCACCAACTTTAGTTTTTCATAGCTCACTATGACTGAGTTACAAATAACTTTTTTCTCTTACAGATGATATGTCGCAGTAATAGTTTTGTGTTGATAACACGGAGTTATCGTCATTTATACAAGAACAAAAAATTATTTGGAAGCCGCCATCCCGAATTTATAAATTTTAACAAATAAATCATGATCTCCGATCTCATCAACCCCCACTTACCAATTTTGAATGGAATCGGACCAAATTTTGTCCGCCTTCTTGGAGCAGCCATTTTTTTTTAATTTCAACAAAAATTCCATAATGCATTGTCATTCAAAATTGGTAAGTGGGGGTTTTTGAGGTCGGAGATCATGATTTTTTGTTAAAATTTATAAATTCAAGATGGTGGCTTCCAAATAATTTTTTGTTTTTGTATAAATGACGATAACTCCGTTGTTATCAACACGAAACTATTACTGCGACATATCATCTGTAACAGAAAAAAAGATATTTGTAATTAAGCCATAGTGAGGTATGACCTACATTTGAAAAACTAAAGTTGGTGCTGATATGTCAAATTCTAGAAGAGTTGGTATAAATTTCATATTTTTTTCGAAATCACTTTGAAAAACTGCCATGAGAATGTGGAATTCCTATTTGAATATTTTCATAAATAAAGAGGTTACGGAGGAGACATGAAAATGATCAAAATCTGTTTTTTTTGCGTATAAAACAAAAACGAATAGGTTTTATCAAAATATTTTTTCACATTATAGTTGGCCTTGACAAACTCCACATTTGGTGTCATTTAACCGACCTCGTATCTCTCACCGTTAGAAAGATACCCATAATGAGCATGGTAAGTGGGACACACTGTATATAAAGGTGTGTTCTATTTGGGCTTTGTCAATGACTCCATACGCCATCTTTGGAGCAGCACTGTTAATTATAATGAATATAAGTACTTATAACTCGTTCTATACAAAAAAGCTTTTGCTTTGCCGAGGAACAAATTACCAAAATCTTTCGATAACAAATCACCCGCCTTTTCTCTTTACAGAATGTATGGCCCTAATAGAAGCCAAACTGCACGGACAAAGAAATCCATACGACGTGAACAGTAACGTATGCACCGGCAACCCCGTATCGCACCGCGGCATATGCTCCGGGGACTCCGGAGGACCTGTTGTCGGTGAGGGGGTTGTGGTCGGATTGGCCTCTTATTCCTTCATCCCCTGTGGACAGGCCGCAGCGCCATCTGTCTTCACCAGAGTCAGTAACTTCATCGATTGGATACACGATCACATGAACTCGACTAACGCAACCATGTACTAGATTCGTTACATAGCTATTAAATAATGCATGTCACATGTTTTATTAATTATTTGCGGCTAAAGCCGTTACCATCGAGATTAGAAGGTCAGCAGACTCTGACGTAAACAGCTCGTGACGTCACCGAAGAGAGGCCAGTGTTTTACCGCTTGTCGACTCGACGCAGGGCCTACGACTCTATCTTACCGGGCCGTAGTCTATCCCCTCTCTCTCGACGCTGACGTCACACTAGTAGGTTGAGATTTCACATCAGTCCGTTCTGCTGCGTTCGTAATTGATAGGCTATAGCTCATTTACTATGAATTTTAGAAGCACACTCAATCGAGACGAAATGATCCCCAACAAATTCCTCAACTTTTGGTGAGAAAATGAATCCAATAGGATGAATCAATACCGAGTTATGGCGTTGTAACGAAATTCCATTTTATTGAAAATCAGGACGTTGTACTACAGAATACTATTTTTTGCAAATTTGGAATTGAAATAAGATGAAACTAACTCAAAATATCAAACTACGATAATGAATCAATTGAAAAGTGAAAAAATTGTAGAGTTACCTACAAGGAGTCCGAAAGAAATTAAATATAAAGAGCGCGTAAAAAATGGGCGTTATACCTACCTACCCAAATTTCGCTGTATTACGATTTCGCGGTAATTCCTTGGACTGGTAAAGGGCGATATACTTTTTATTACTCATTATATTTCTAAATGGCGTATGGTTCAGACCAACTGATATTGGTGTCTGAAAAATTCGAAACAATATTTCTACAATGTAAGTCACAACATAAAGTTTTGGAGAATTTAGCAGAAATTAAAATCAGTTCCCTTCTCAATTATTCCGAGAATCAATGTTGCAGTTGTGGGTCTTTTGATGGAATCAGCAGAACATTCTCTAAAACCATTTCAAATATCTGTTGTATCTGTCTGTTGAACAATTATTGCAAAATAAAAAAAAAATTAAAAAGAAAAATCACTAAACTTTCAGGATGAGATATAGTTCAGATTTCAATTTTCAGTTTGTGATTAAGATGATGTATATATATTTTTTGTTATTAGTGTATTTCATTTTGTCTATATATCAATTTTTTTATTTTGTTATGTTGATCATTTTTACAGTTTATTTTGTTTGGTTTTGTTTGTGTATAAGGATTCAACGTTTTTTTCTTTTTGCTTTTGGGTGTATGATAAATTGACATTCATCATACAGGGCGTGGAAATGAATTCTGAATTGAGACTCTATCACGAATCTGCGATTAGAGGTCTATAAAAATCACAAGTTTCCATCGTTCAAGTTTGAACCCCCTGATTGGGTATGAAAGTGTTGAAAAGGAATATTCTCAGATAAATTATAAACATACAAAAATGGATATATATTTTATTTTCAAACTCTTATCGTGTGTGTTCAATAGATATAATTCAATGTTCGTCGTGGCATATAGCCAGGAAAGTAGTTGTTTTCTATTGAATTAACTGAAAAAGAGTAAATATTCTCATCACATAGAGAATGCGAAATCTCAATGTATTGCTTTATATAAATATATATCCATTTTTGTATGTTTATAATTTATCTGAGAATATTCCTTTTCAACAGTTTTTTTTTCATTTTTTCCTTATTCATTCATATATCGCTGTTCTGGGTATTTTGTTATTCAGTTCGTTATATTCATTTTTATATCTCTCATTGTTGAGATACATATTTTTTCAATTATTTTTGTTAGGTTGTGTTCATATGAACTCCACATATTTTGTTCTTTTTAATTTTGATAGTTTGCAAATATATTCAGATCAAATTTTTTTCATGAATTTAAAGTTATCATTCAAATATATTCACTTCAGCAGAAACTAATTGATAACGAATAGGCGTTTTTGTGTAATAACACACTCGAGTAATAGGATTTCTAACGTCATCAAAGTGCGTCCTGATCATCTTTGGAGATAAACGCTGCTGAAACCCTTCGAGATAAAGTGGATGTGTATTATACCGATTTGTAGGCAATCAAATTTCCTACAAAAAGTCAGTGACAGCATATATCCATAGTTGATATGATTAGCATGGGAGGCGTCCGAACTTTTTGAACTATTCTGTAATGAACACCTGAATCATCGTTCTACTTGAATTGAAATATCGGTTTGTTGTTGGTCCTTGGGAATTTCGAAAAAAAACTCAGTCAATCTAGATACTATGCGAAATCTTTTCATGGTTGAATCATTTCTGTGAATTGAATATTGGAATTTTGGTAGCTGTTTGAAAAAGGACAATTCTGAATGGCGTCAATTAATTTTGATATGCCATATTTCTGAAAATAATGATCGTAAATCAGTGAAATTTGATTCATCTTCTGGAAAATTCTTTTCTGTACATATTTGACCTCTTGATATTTTTCGCTAACTGTGACCGTTTTCCCGAGATAAATCAATGAAACGGGAGAGACAATTTCCACTGCATTGATTTTGTCCCTACTAGTGTGACGTCACGAAAGCGATGCTCCGGCCCGGTGAGATAGAGTAGGCCCTGCTCGACGTCAGTTCGTGTTAATTCATGTTCGGTGGTTCACGTATGTTTTTGAAGCGGTCCCAGTAAATGGGCTAGACAGACTCCAGACCAATTTTCAAAATTCTAAGTCCTTTTTCCCCAGATTCTACGGAAATTCCGCGATGTGCAGCGGAAAGCCCCATAAGAGCCAATGTAAAGCAAAGCAGATTTTTCCCTAGATCTACGGACTTTTTCAGCGGATTTTAAGGTTCATTCTGCAATTTTTTACGCTTTCAAGGTCATCCGGCTCCGACGAGTGACCTATCAGCAAGCTGTTGATAAGAACCGCAATAACACATCGATGCCAATAGCTGGGTCGATATACAGGGTGTTTGAGTTGAATATAAATTGAAAATATATACAGCTGTCCCACTGGTAGACCACCACACTTTAGGTGGGCTGAGCAAACAGATAGCTGACGTATGACGTATGGCAGATGACGTTTGATAGAAGGCCGTTGACAGGATCAATGACACGTGACCAGGCGACTTGCTAGCTGGCTACCCCGCTGATGATTTCATTCAATATGCAGCATGTTCAGATGGACCCGGCAAAACAGATAGGTAAAGTATGGCGCACTAGCTGCTGATTCCGTTCAATATACAGGGTGTATACATATAGGGTGACTCGCGGGTAGACCAACCCACTTCTTGTCATGCTCAGAGACTGCTATAACACCCAAAGTACGACAGCGGATAACAACTAACATAACACATTCGATACCACATGACCTTCTGGTGCTCGCTGAACAATCGACAGCCGACAGATGGCTTATGACATTTGATAGGCGGTCGCTACGTAAACCGTTGATTATATTCCCCGATGCTTGCCGAAAGCAAAACCAATCAGGCACCTGGCGGGTAGACTACCCCGCGTATAGATTAAGGGTGCTAGGAGGTTATGAACGCTAGAGGTTAGCCATGTTTAGGTGTGATACTTTGTTGAATAACCTGATTTTTATTATCAATTACTGAATACAGTTATTTCAATTAGACAGCTAACGCAAGCTCATGATTTCATTCAATATAAAAGACGGTTGAGTTGAATAGCAATGAAAAATATACAAGGTTAGATCACCACATTTCAGGTGGGCTCGGCAAAGGGATAGCTTACGTATGACAGATGTTTTTTGACAGGGGAAGTATGGAGTGGAAGTATTTAAAAACCAGGAAATATGTCGAACTACTCTCTACCCAAAACTCATGATGCGAGTGATCATCTCGAAGTCTACACACTTTCGCTTGAATCTTCTGGTAACGTAGATAATGTTTGCTGCAGTTTAGCTTGTCACAGAAACGCTGCGGCAATGTAACGGGAACGTCAGGAAAATGTTATGTAATCGTTACAGATACGCTGCAAAAATGTCTCGGAAATGTCACAGGAACGTCACGGAAATATCATCGAAGTGTCATGGAAGTGTCACGGAAGTGTCAAGGAAGTATCACGGAAGTGTCACGGAACTGTCAAGGAAGTGTCACGGAACTGTCACGGAAGTGTCACGGAACTGTCAAGGAAGTGTCACGGAAGTGTCACGAAAAACGTCACGAAACACCAGAACGTTACAGAAACATCGCGGAATGTTTACGGAAACGCCACTGAAATGTCAGACATATTTCATTATACCTACCGCTTCTGCTTCATTCAAGATAACAACAATCTCGTTATCGTTCGAGGTGTTTCCGCGACAAATACTCTCTCTACAACTCTCAACTAAAAACATGTAAAACAGCTCTGGGTTACACCAAAGGATTGAAATCAAACACAGTGTGATGAAAATGTTTATAATATATTCAATAAATTATACAAATAGCAGCACATTTCCCCACCACCCTCGAGGTAGTGCCTTGTGGCGCGTTGCTTCTTTTTATAGTGGGAAGCTCTCCGGTAGACCTACTTTGACCACTTGCGACGATAAATAATTAGGTTAACAATTTTTCTCAGACAGCACGAAGATTTATTCCTAAATTAATAGAAACACTTCATTAATTCGTCTAATGTATGTTTCCGCAGACAGCACGAAGATTTATTTCTAAATTAATAGAAACACTTCATTAATTCGTCTGATGTATGTTTTCGCAGACAGCACGAAGATTTATTCCTAAATTAATAGAAACACTTCATTGATTCGTCTGATGTATGTTTTCGCAGACAGCACGAAGATTCATTCCTAAATTAATAGAAACACTTCATTAATTCGTCTGATGGTTCTTTTTTGTTCGATTGCTAACCTAATCATTCATCACACATTTTACATAAAATTAATTGATTAATTATCAATTTCCATTGCTTCACCATTGATGGAATAATGGCCCCATGGAAGAGCGTCATACGATCCAGGTATGATGTACCTCTTATCATCTTCGGAGCTAAGGGCGATTTTTTCTTGGCAGATTGAATGGACCTGGTACTGTTTGGCTCTAATCAAGTTTTGTGATACTGTTTTCTGTTTGGCTGTTTCCAGACATTCAACATAGTCATCGAAAGTTATAGTTGTTTTAACAACAGACTTCTTTACACCTTTCGCCTTCTTCATTACACCCATATTCATGATTATATCATCGATTTCCTCCTGATCATAGTTTTCTG